CATTTTGACTTATCATTGCATTTTTTACCTTTAAAGAGCCGACGAGAAGGCCTGAGCTCATGTTGCTTCACAGAAGCAAATGATTTAGCCTTTTCAAAAACCAAAGCTTATGGGCATTTTTGGGAGCAAATTACATAGCAAACAGCTTAGTAGTTATTTAAATACTTAAAACACACACACACACACACATGAACCCCATGGTGAAGTTAGAGGTTTGAAAACTTACAATAATTTCATGATTTTAGCTTTGATTCTGCAGTTTCACAACAGGTATCATGTCAATAGTTATGATATCACATCTATACATGTATGGCAAGAAAAATGTTCCCTCTGTATAAGTGTCAAAGTGTCAAGTGTCAAACAGGCGTCCACGCGCACAACCTTGTTGACTCCTTCTAATGTCGCAAAAGCAGAAATTGTACCTCTACTCTGATCCCCTATTGAATAATTCACTTCACACAGTCACTAAAACTAAGTTTAAAAGTCTTGAGATGTTTTTTTTTATTTTTTTATTCACTACTAGGATGTCATGGTCATAAATAAATGAACAAGAAAGGCAATTCTCAGCTGTCTCTTCAACACAACACAACTGTCCAGGTTACCCTCCATGACGTTGTCTTTTATGCAAATATCGACGTGTGTTATATTGTAATTTGTAATTGTAACTGTTTTAAACAGTTTTCTGCAAAATTATTAGCTATTATTTCACATCTATTTAAAATTATATCCTAAGTACATTTCCTGCCGAGAACATTTTTAGACACTACACTAAAGACCATTTATATCCTAGGAGAAGAAAAGGCAATGTAATCCTTAGCTGCTTATTGATTGATGTGGTTATTTGAAATCTGTGAAATCTGTGATTATCTGAAAGCTGTGAAAGACACTTATGATTGGAACATCAAATATTGCAAAAGTCCAGTTATTTCCTATGTCTAGGTGGCTAGTTACTAGTAGTCTAGTAACTACTAGTTGTGGTATGTACTGCAAGAAATAATTAACATTCACATTACAGAGTAAACTTAACAGGTTGAACCTGTTATTTGTCTGGGTGTGTGATATTTTGTCCTTCAAAGGTGTCAAAGAGCAGTCTGAATGACTGCCCTTCACAAAGTGAGCTACATTAGCCCCTTCATGAGCCAGAAAAAATGTACATTTTGGTAAGCTAATTCTGTGTCTTTTAAGAACTTTTGAGATAAATTGACAGTTTTCAGTAAAATTAGGAATACGATCTTTATATTTTTCCAGAAAGAAATAAATGTTAAAAGACACACTTTTAGTTTCCAGTGCGTTCTAATTTCTTCCTTCCTCCTGTAGTTTTACTTCCTGACAAATGCAGTGCAGGATAGTTCAGCTAATGTCCACCTTCCACCTTCAGTCTATGCAAAATAGTAAAAATCATACTGTTATATAAAGCTACTGGAAATCTTTTCCCTGAATTAACAAATATGATTTAGTCTTATCACTTACATGTTCATTGACAATTCTTTGCTTGACAATTTTACTTTTCTTTAGTTTAAAATGAACTTACTGACTTTCATATGTATAAATGTAATGGTGTGTACATTGAGTAGCCAGTATAAAGTGTGAAAAAGCATATAACATGCATTATTTTACATTGATCAATGGATCCATATCTCCGATAGAGTTTGCTCAAGTCTAAAACTTAAATGACCATAAGTGAAGGTTGCAAAGCGCACCTATGGGGTCATTTGTGATGTGTGGAACATTTTTGCTGCACAGCTATTTAGTGAGCTTCCAGCAACTTCAGATAGAAGAGAATGTAAATTCTCACCCCTGCCCAGACAACAATTTTTTTTTTTTGTTTGTGCATTTGCAGACAAGGGAAAGATTATAATCCCAAAAAGTTAATTCTGTTCATCTCGACGTAGCGTTTCTGAAATAACCGAAACTAGCACCACTGGTGAAAACTGCAAACTGTCATGACCATTGACCAACAACCACTGATCAAATAAAATTTATCAGCATGTTTTGACAAAGTAGGCCAGTGACCCACGTGCAGCATGTTTTGGGGTTTAAAAGCCACAGAGATGAGGTGTTTAGAGAAAATGCTTCTCGACTGCTCCAATACTCTTGACACATATGGGATCACTAAGGGTTTTCCCTTAGGCAGCAGTTATCCTTCTTGTGTCCTGGATTGCCTGGAGCTTACATTGGTTTATGGTATACATCACCTTTTATATGTCCCACATTATTGCTGGAATCTCACAGTCTAAGAAGGCTAACCTGTCATTTTCATAACCTCCCTGGTGAACTTGATGTGTTTGTCCACAGAGTTAATGTGATCCCTGAATGTGGTAGTTCCTGAGATTTGAGCTTCACCCAGGTGTTATCCACATACCTGAACCAATGACTTGGTGGTTGTTGGGTCTGTCTAGCACAGGCCCACCGCTGGAACGAG